CCCTCTCGAGGCGTTTAATGGCTGCGGTACACCAGGCAACTGCAAAGCCTCTGCCACGCTGAAGCCACACAATGAGAAGCGATCGTTCCACCGGCTTTCCCGCACCCATCCCCATCTGCGCTGCCCGAATCGAGCCGTGCTCTTCGCGGGAGCATCACTCTGAACCGGATTCCTGGGGTTTCTGGCGGAGGTCAGCACATCTTTTCATCTGCACCTTTACAACAGCAGCAGGAAGAAGCGCTTGCCAAGTTTTATTCCCAAAAAGTCAAGCTCCGTTAGGTCTTGGGACCTGGAGGTAATTGCTCTCACTAGTTAGCAAATTCCAGCACACTAGGTCTGTTTTTCATAGGTTTATTTTAAGTACCTGTAAATCTTATAAGCAGAAACCAGGAGAAAGAGGTTTGCTTTTTCTGGTGCAGAGTTTTTTAATGTAACTTGTTTTTACTGAGGGCAGACTAAGCTCTGAAGTTAAAAAAAAGCCTGTGCTATTATTTCTGAGCAGGGCTGAAGGGCTGCGTGTTCTCTGCCCCACGGTTTCACACTTCCCGCTCGCCGTCCTGCCTACGCTCGGCTTTCCTTCGCGGCAGCCATTGCATGTTGATCTTCCCCATTAACCTCTCACGTCAGCTAAAACACGTCGTATTTTCTTCTTCATGAGCCTTCAGGGGGCTCATTCCTGACCTCCAGTTTCTCATCACCATGTGGGGGAAAGAAGAAAAAATAGCAGCCTCCTGTTTTCAAAGAAAGAGAGGTAATTCCCACGTGGTGCAGGGGCTCAGAATCAAGCTGCTCATTCCTGGGGCCGAGTTTCCTTCATGCTCATTCTTTTCCAAAGGCCACGTCTCACCATCCCTTCATCAGGAACGACCAGGACTGCTGGAGCACCATGCAGCGGCGTGACCCCCCCACGCCGTTCCACCCGTGGCCCCAGGCGCCTCAGCACCAGTTGGCATCGCTGCGGGGACGCACCACCGGCTCGGCGGATGGCAGCACAGGACCTTGTCCAGGTGGGTCTTGAATATCTCCAGAGAAGGAGAATCCACAACCTCCCTGGGCAGCCTGTTCCAGTGCTCCGTCACCCTCAGAGGGAAGAAGTTCTTCCTCATGTTCAGCTGGAACTTCCTGTGCTTCAGTTTGTGCCCGTTGCCCCTTGTCCTGTTGCTGGGCACCACTGAAAAGAGCCTGGCCCCATCCTCCTGACACCCACCCTGAAGATATTTATAAGCATTTATAAGGTCCCCTCTCAGCCTTCTCTTCTTCAGGCTAAACAAGCACAATCAAAGGCAGCTAAAAAAGCCCAAACCAGCCCAAAACATCCAACCAACAAGCCCAAAAAACCCCCCCAGTACACCACCCCACCCAACTGGAAGCATCAGTGCTTGGGATTACTGCACACAGTCTTCCCCCAAGACAAATGCGGTCCCACTGATGGTTCTGCAGATGGGTTATTGGGGGTGGATGGGGAGTACTGTGGATTTGGCATGCAGATTCTACTTTTTTTTTTTTTTTTATTTTTTTGGGATTTTAAGAAAAGAAAAATCACTCACAAGTTGTTTGACAAAAAAAAAAAAAAAAGCAATTCTATTCCACAGAAGAGATTTACTGCTCATCTGATTAGCCACAGTATCCGAGACAGAAAGTAATAGGGCAGACATTAGATCTGGGAAATTTTCCAGATTCATCATTTAAATAATAAATAGTGGTTGCATGAAAGCAAGCAAAATACTCCCGTCTGGAAAACTGTGTAAAGCATTAGTAAGGCAGTAGCATACGCCGCATTCCTGAGCCTTTCTGGAGACAGTATTTCCCTTGGATTTACCCCGTCTCTGAGAGAAGTTATCAATGCACTACTCGGAGTATCCTCGCAGAGACCGGGTCACCTCAGCCAGAGGCACACACGAAACTGGATTTTCTGTGGTCTGCTTTTCGTTGAGGAATGCGTGGTCTGGGTTGCTCCACAGCCCCTGAGCAGGTACGAACCGAGCTCCCCCACGCAGCTCTGCTTTTGTTAGAACCAGCTCCACCACACAGTCTGTCCACCCAGCCAGAGCACAATTTGCTTATAAAATAAGCTGAGCTCATTGCTGTTCTTCATTAAATGGCCCTGGGAAACTCACTTTAGGAACACTCTTTGCTAGGTGGTGTTCAAACAGGGTGTCTCCCCCCATCTCGGAGACTGTCATGTCTAAGGCAGGACAAAAACACCGCACAGAGCTGGTAATCAAAGTGGCAGTCCAGAACAGCCGCTCACCCCTCCACAGGCCAGCTACAAGCCTGATTCCAAGTCCTCAGCAGTCAAAAAGCA